ACTCTTTCCTGGCACCATGTATCTCCTCTTGGTTGTCCAGGGAGGTCAGCTTCAAAAGGAGAGTTGGAGAGGGGACTGGATAATGCCTGATCTGTGGCCTGGTGGTTAGAGCATTGTGTTGGGAAGTCAGATAAATGTGGATTCAACCCCACTGTGGGTATGGAGGTCTCCTACTTCCTCAGAGAGTGTCCTGACAACTCAGGCACTGGGGCTAAAACACAGGAGGGTTTCTCCCACTAGTCATGAGTTTATAGGCACCTGCATTTTCATGATCTGGACACACGTGTCCATAACAGGAGGGCACATATAGCAGTATATCTGCCCAGCCAATGTGTAACCTACTGAACACGCTCAGTCAACATGTGCATGCTTACACATCCACAGTGGAGGGGTAACAGAATTGCAACCTGTGTGTGAGTGCCTAAAATGGCTAGTAAGATGCCATTTAGACACACAAAAGGAAAACAAAATCTTGCCCTAAATGTTTAAACAACACAAGCACAAGTGTAACCTCAGAAATTTGGAAGAGAAGCAGTCTTGATACAGTGGGAGCAATCTGTCAAGCAGCCTGAAATTTCTGGATCTTACAGAAAGCACGTACACAATATTTATAGACTGCTGGTCTATATTTCAAGCCTTATTTAGTATGCTAAAATTAATATACATAAATAGTAAGTTAGCTAGCTTGACTTTATAAATCATTCTACAGGGATGAATCAAGATGGGTCTGTTCCTTCTAGACATGCGGAGGCTTTTTTTAATGTGGCAAATGTTGTCTGGAATGACAATATGCATTGGATGTGTTTAACCAAATTAAAACCTGTACTCTGGAAAAAATGCAAATCTGAAGTTCATACAGCAAGCACTGTTCTAGCAAAATGTGTTTAGAGCCCATTGGCTTAAGTGTACCCACATATTTCAGGACAGCAGAATCAATCTACATCATGGTCTCTAAGAGCCATGGAGTCCCTACACTAAAACAGATCACTGGTCTGTAAAGTCCATTATCCTGCTTTTAGCAGTGGTCTGTATGCGATGCTCTAAGGGGCTATTTTATGGGCTGCTTGAAAAGCAAGGGGAATCAGCAGCAGGCAGGTTTGCTGGTATCTAATGTAATGCAAGAACAATCTGCAGTGTAGTTAACAATGGTGTTTTTACATTTCCCTGCATCTCAGACTGACTTCCCTTCTTCCATCTTTTTAACTCCTCTGTTTTCCTTCTCCTATGAGGAGGGTTATTCTGAGATGTACATTTGAAGCAATCATAGACAAGAAAGCGGGAAACCTGTTTGTAGAGTACCATGAGACCATTTATTGGAAATAACAATAATACAAACAGATCATTTTAACTTTTGGTAATATTTCATTTGTTCAAGTCATCATCCATATGTAGAAGAAAATGTCTCACATTGGAGCACGCTAACAACATTGTTTCCAAAAGAAACCTCAACCGTTGTAACAGAAAACTTCTGATTTCAAAAGGCACAGTAGTAAAAGTGGATGTGGATGGATGTGTATGTGTCTAGTAGCCCTAGTTTTCAAAAGGAAATCAAATTACAGTAACTGGAAAATGCAATATATTAAACCTGCGCGTCTGTGGTGCCAGTGTTCTCTCAGGAAGAGAAATTCTAATGAAAATCACTTTAGATTTCTCCATAACAGATAAACCTTTTGAGAAACTCTGTGGTTGAAACAAGTAAACTTTTTTTTTTCCTTGCTAAATGAAAAGGTTAAAAAAGAATAAATGAATAACTACAAAATCCCTACTCCTTGCACAATTTTCCCCTTAAACATCCACATTCTAAAAGCTTTTATTTTTGCAAAAAGCTGACAAAGACTAGACTATCCTCCCCTGTGTTTGCCAGCTTTCCAAACAGCACATCTGACTGCCGTAAAAACGCAAAAAAATGGATATTTAATTCAAGAGCAGCATAAGTCTAGCTACCACTTCCCTGCTGTTTCACAGCATTTCATTATTTTGTTTAATAAGTTCATCTCCTCAAGAATTTTCTCTTCACCTTATATTATTAAAAGTAATAAGTTTTTCTGGACTGGGGGTTTCCCAACAGAAAACCAATTTATGTGTGTCCTTCAATAATGACAGGAAAAGATTATTTCCTATTATACTGCACACTTTTCATATCACCACCCCAGCTTATCATTCAATAAATGTTACTCTGCAACCTGTTCCTTTCACTGAAGAAGTTTAATTTCTGTATAAACCTGTTTTTGCTAGCCAACGCCTTGTGAGAGAGCTTCTGTACAGCAACAAAATTACTTTGTTAAAGAAACTATTTAGAAATCTCTTGTCACTGATAAAATTGTCTTCAGTTAATAAAAGCATTTAAAGTCAGTTTACATCTAATTCACTCTCACATGCACACATACTTAATAGCACATTTTAAAGCACAAATGCATTCTTTTAAAATGAAAGGTGAATTTAAACATTTAGCTCAATTAAATGTAAAAAACTGTGTTAACGGGGACAAATCCTGACCTTTGGCCTATTGCTTTTACAGCCAGGACCTGTTTTGAGTATAGCCACAAGTGCTGAGGAATCTTTCTTCACAAAGGTGGTGATTTTTACAGGCAAAAGCTGTCATTCAAGTACACACAGACAATCTAGTGTGTGGGTCCATGTAGATCTCATTTGGGCCCCTGGCACACATTACATTTAAGACACAATTAACAGGTTAATCACACCTTAAATAGTAACCTAGCCATATGTCAAAGTCCACTTGAGGTGTGAGAATACACTTAATGAACCACAGAGTTATTTCACATTTAACATGGAACAGCTTTGTGGCATGCCTTACATTGAGTGTATGGCTGCTGCAGGCTGCACCATGATGATCCTAACACAGTGAAGTGTTGGGATCTGTTGTGGAATTAAAGCCCCAGTCAGGGTTTTGGCAATCAGTTGACTGTCTGCTGGGCCAGGGGCTGGTTTCAGATCCAAGTTCAGTCCCCAGCCCCCACTGACATTCAGCTGATTGTCAGCACCTGTGTTTTTACTTGCCAATGCAGGGGGAGCCCAGAATCGTGACCCCGGGCTTCCTCTGTACTGACAAGTAAGGTGCAATAGGGATCTAATCCCCATTACAAAATCATATGTAGCATGGCTGGAGGCACAACTGTTGAGATTGCAGCTTAGATCCTACACAGTCTTAAACTGAATGTCTGTTAAAGGCCTCAGGCTAGCATAAGAAGACATGATGTTTAAATCTTTGCCTGGACTTGTCAGGCAGACTGTGCACACCTGTTACAGCAGGCAGATGTCCTATTACACTATGGCCCTGGCAGCCTAGAGGGGCTGGAAATGGCCTCCTTGAGACGCTTCTCTGTGCCTTTCCCATTGGTAGAAGAACAGAAAGAGGAAGGAGGAATAACCCAAAGATGGCAACAGTGGGGGTAAACTGTGCTTCAGCTATTTGCTGCTTCCTAAGGATCATTGGAGGAGCCAGAGCACAAGGACATGAACAATTAAACAAACTATAGCTCATGCACCTAACTACAGCTAGGGCAGCTAAAAAGGGAGTGGGACTTACTGTGGTAATCAACCTCTGCTTGCTTTTACCCCATGGTTAGTGAAAGTTAAATAGAGGCAGCTCAGCCCCCATTTGGCTGAAGGGGGAGCTGCTCCAGTTTAGCCTTCACTTACTGCATGGTAAGAGTAGGCACATGGACTGTTACTGTGCATCAGCTGCTTTGCAAAGAAGTCTCTGCTCACTTTTAACTTGCTGCAATTTGTTCATTTGTCCATACTACAAGTTAGATCAACTCTGAGATGCTACTACCTTACAGGGCTGGCCTAGAATATAAACAGTTTTACTTGGCTGCTTCCTTTTCCATTACTGTCACAAATGGAAGAACAAATGAACAGAAAAATGGAACTATAGGGCCTGCTCCAACAGTGATACAGAAGGATGGATAGTATTGTATATACTGGATCAGGATCTCAATGACTGTAAATTCAAGCAGCTCCATAAACTTCAGTGCCTATTTACACTAACTTGGGATCAGTCCCGCTGTTTACAAACAGTCATGTTAAACAGCCTAATTTGTTCACTAATTTAGTTTGCTTTAATAAGTTGGTAAACTCCACAATGGGTTAGTGGGAGCTGAATCAACATTACAAAATTTTCCAGGGAGAGGTGCAGGAAGAATTACTTCTTAAATGAGACCAAATATGAGAATTTTCTGCCAAAGAGGTATGCTTCAGAAAGTTATACACAAGTAGAAAGAGAGAGCTCCAAGGAAAGTCAGGCTGCACCTTTACCTAGCACTTACTCTGTCCTAAAAGCAAAGGTGCTTGTGACTTACTTAGATGGTCTGTATCTTTTTATATCTTAAGATTTTACCTCCTGAATGAGATGGTTTGCATTTTATTTATACAGAAGATCTGGGTAGCAAGAATTACCTTGTTGCCAGTTTTCCAGTAGAAATCTCTAACGGCTCGTAGCATGACTATTCCTACAGGCAGGGTGGCATTCACAGCTTCTTTTCCTGTCGAGGTCTTAATAAAGTCAGAACCTTTAAAAAAAAAAAACCAAGAAAGCTCCATGATAGTTTTCTTACAGTATTTTTTTACATCTCTATACTTATGCCATCATGCTTTACAGTTATTATTAAGCTGTACATAAGCCCTATGCTATAGGAATTCTTTTTCCTCTGGAGCTGGAAAGCCACTCACAGGAATGTTAAGAGGCCTGTACAAAGTTTCAGACAAACTCAGGAGAGGAGTCAAAGTGACAGCCCAGGAACCCCAACCCCTGCCAATGTCACAAAGCCAAATATCCCTTCAAGACTCTTGAGGCAATTCGTATCAAACAATTAAATTGTAACATCCTTGTTTTTAAATAAAAGTTGTACATAACTATTTATATTACCATTTTGCTGTAAAAAGGCATTGCTTGTAACACATGCTGGTATTCCAAGGTTTCTAATATAAATCTCCATCACGTTGTTTCTCATAAAACCTCATAGTTCCAGATCCAATGAAATGCAAGTTAAAAATAAAATGACAGATGGAATGTTCAGTATAGCCACATGCTACCGGACCTTTAGTCTATTTAGTCTAGTATCCTATCAGCAACTTCTGGTGAAAGGAAAAGAGAGGGAACCAATGCTAATTCACCTAACTACTGTTATATTATAAACAAAGAAGGAAAATTATCTTCCTGAACTATGTGCCAATCAGTTTATATTTTGATATATGCTGTATTTTAAAAATGTATCTTGGAAAAATGTAAAACCAAAGTCTGTATTGACTGGCCGCACCTACACGAGATGCTGACTGCACAGTAGCTCATTACTACTGCGCAGTACCATTGTGTGACATGAAGCATGATGCAATGCTACTGCACAACAGTAACAAGCTACTGCGCAGTCAGCACCACCAAAAAACCATTCAGGGATGCTACTTCACAGTCATGCCAGTTACTGCACAGTCATTTAGTACTTGTGCATGCAAGTACTAAACGACTGTAAGCCTTGTGTAGATGCAGCCACTGTGAACATTAAAGAACCGTCCCAAGACGAAGGAGAGTTAGCCTTGGATGGATGGCTTATTTCTCTCTGCATTTTCATTTATTCTTCACTTTGCCTCCCAGCTCTTGCACACCCCTGTTTTTTCAGTTTTTACAGGAACCCTGCCCTTTCCCACCCGCCCCCAAACAAGCCATGTGGGGTCTGCTTTTTGTCTCATAAATGTCAGTGGTGCACACTCAAGTGCTGGGAACCTACTTTTTGCAGAAAGTAAAAAGTAGTCCAAAAAATCACAGAATCAGGAAAGTAGGGCTAGAATGGACTCCAGGTCTCCTCGTCCAACTCCCTGCTCAAGGCAAAATCATTCCTATCTAGACCATCCAAGCCATAGTGTAAGGTGAGACAGTAAGATCTCATCTGAATGACAGCACCTCTACATGCCTCAAATTAATAAGCTGGAGCTGCTTCACTACTGGATAAAGGATAAAACTGACCCATTATCGTTACATTCTGTAGCACCAAAGGTTATCCTGTAGGGATCCCAACCAAGTACAGGCTAGACTGTTTACTCTTCAAATGCTCCATCTCATAAAGATCACGGTATGGAAACATAGGAAAAGGTTTCATATTAGTGAGAAGGAATTTTACATAAGGGGCAATGGATTGTTGACTGAATGTTACAAAGAACTAGACTCATGCAAGCCAGGAAGTTATGTATGGGCAATTCTCATTAAAAGGAAACAGAACTTGGCATTCTTGATAGTCACATTTGAAAAAAAGGAAATGAAACTTTAACATTATCAAATTCTATGTTTCAGTTTCCCTTTTAACTGCAGAGTTTAAGTCCTTCAGTACAATACTTTTTTCCCCTCGTATAAGGTAAGTCAAAGCTTTTATAAGTCTTATAATTACAAGTCTCTATGGTACAGTTTCATTAAAAACTTTCATTAAACAACAGCTGCCCTTGTATATGGTCTTCTAATCAATTTGGTCAAACAGAATGACTTCTAATCAGCTGTTGATAAAAATAGAAGATGAAATTTTAATTCTAATAGATTAACCACAAACTCAAGATAGTCTTCAAAATCCATCTAGCTCTTTTCTCCAGTGGATTTAACGACTATTCAGCAACTCATTACTAAATAGAACAAGATGAACATTTTCCAGTTCATTAAAGAAATGTACTATGTATTTTTGCATTGTCCTCATGATTCGTTACAGGGAGTCTTAATTACAAGATAATGGATAATGGTTATTAAATGCAGACTCCAGTAATGAAGCTCTATTCATTTGTGAGCCTCAGAGACTGCAAAGAGGGGAAAATAAAATTACTAGCTTCAAAAGATTAACGGATCAAATTATTATTCAATTTTGAAAATCTCATTCAGACTTCACAGAAACAAGAAGAGATTAAAAACTAGTATTAGTACAAAAGTAGTGCATTTATTTATTTATTTATTTTTAAATAATATCTTAAGGCTATTACCAGAATAATCAGCTTTAGATGCGATTATTAGACAAACATACAGCCAATTTAGTAATATCTCCTAACAATGAAAACAATACATTTTTATTTTGTGAATAAATTCTATTTATGCTGCAAGAGGTTACTAGCAGGACTCCATAAAGCATTGTGTGGAACATGGAAGATGTGTGCTAGCAAACAGTACTACAATGTAAGGTATTATTAACATTTTATATTTCACTAATGAAAAAAAAGGATTTAAAAATCCACCACTGCTTCAAGAAGCATGTCATTAAGTGGAATGCATGCCAACCTTGTAATAAGAGTTCCTGGTCATATTATTTACTAGCCCTGGGTTTTCAATACTTGAAACACAAACTGCAGAAAAATGTTCAGCAACAGCTGAACAGTGATTCAGAGGATGTTTTATAAGTTCAAATTGTCATTATCTGGCCTGCTATTTAAAAATGCACATACACAAAGTATAGGCAAGTTTTAAAATATATTCCGAAATAACTTGTTCATTACTCAACATGAGTTGGAAAGTAATTCATGAAATACTAAGGCCAAGACCTTTAGAAATAACTGCTTAAACTTAAGCTTCTACACAATGGCATAACTATGGTGGAGTATATGGGGCTATTGCCCCAGGCACAACTTGGGAGTGGGTGGGTGAGAAAAGCAACTGCTGCTAGCAGTCACACAGTCACAAATGCAATCACGGTGGCAAGCAGAAGTCCCTGGTGCCTTTGTGCCCTGACTGCCCTGCTGCATCCCTGTGTTGCTGCTTCTAAGTCCATATAGGTCCTGAGTTGGGAACATGCAGACCACAAATGAAAGACAGACATGTGGATCTGTATTTTTCGGCTGGGGCCACAGGTACTCAATGACTACTGCATGTCAGTAAGACCTGGATGTCCAGAGTCTTTAGCTAATGTTGAAACTCCCAGCTGCTGATTTTAACAGAGATTCTGCATGGGCTTAGCAATCTGCTTGCATGTTATGTTACAGGATGCATACATAAAAATGCTTTATCAAACAATGCTAAGTAGTTACAAAGATCCCTTTAGCTTCCTCAGGATCTACTGGGTGCTCAGCAGTTTTGAAAAAGATAAGGCCACATATTTCAGTGTCTAAATATAGACTTAGCCTCGTGTTTGAAAAAAATTGGCTTAAGGGTTCAAATAGTTATTACCAAAAATGAATAATTTAAATCCAAAACACTGTAGTTCAGAGAGGATAAAAATCCCTCTAAGGATCTTTCTCCACGGGAATTTTTTTTTTTTTTTTTTGGGGGGGGGGGGGGGGGGCATGGAGAAGAATGCTGCTTTGGGTGTATTTCAAAAGTAAAAGCTTTAAGCCATAAATAAAAGAAATGCATTTGTTAGCATCTAAAGATGAGGATGAGCTCCACAGCATAGTTTTAGGCACTTCAGGTATATGAACACACACACGTGATGCAGCACTGGGTGCTGCGTCACATGCATTTGTATAAACACACTGAAGGTGTTTTAGTTTCAAAGTACACCACCATAAATTTCTTAATGCTGATGCACATTTTGCCATTTATACAAATGTATGTGACATGGCGCTGGGTGCATCAGTTTACGTGCTCTGCAGACTCGATTAATCGAGTCTGCTCTGCCGCACTGGATTTCCAGCACATCGAAGCAGACAAAAGTATGTGTATATAAATGCTCTTATGTAGATACTGTCCTAGCCAAGTGCTTGGCAGTCTTCATTGCATTTATCTTTGTAACACCTAAGTCTTTGGAGGAGAAGGTGATTAGGAACAGTCAGCATGGATTCACCAAGGGCAAGTTATGCCTGGCCAGCCTGATTGCTTTCTATGATGAGATGACTGGCTCTGTGGATGCAGGGAGATCAATGGATGTGGTATACCTTGATTTTAGTAAGGTTTTTGATACATTCTCCCAGACAAGCTATGGCAGTGCAGGCTGGATGAATGGACTGTAAGGTAGAGAGAAAACTAGCTAGAGCAGCGGTAGTAATCAATGGCTTGATGTCTAGTTGGCAGCTGGTATCAAGTGGAGTGCCCCAGGGTTTGGTCCTGGGGCCAGTTTTGTTCAATATGTTCATCAACAATCTGGAAGATGGGATAGAGTGCACCCTCAGCAGGTTTGCAGATGACACCAAGCTGTGGGGAGTAGTAGATACAGTGGAAGGTAGGGCTAGGATTCAGAGTGACCTACACAAATTGGAGGATTGGGCCAAAAGAAATCTCATGAGGTTCAACAAGGACAAGTGCAAAGTCCTGCACTTAGGATGGAACAATCCCATGTACCAGTACAGGCTGGGGGCTGATTGTCTGGGCAGCAGCTCTGCAGAAATGGACCTGGGGGTTACAGTGGACAATAAGCTGCATATAAGCCAGCAGTGGGCCCTTGTTGCCAAGAAGGCTAATAGCATACTGGGCTGCATTGGTAGGAGTGTTGCCAGGAGGTCAAGGGAAGTGATTAGTCCCTTCTATTCAGCACTGGTGAGGCCACATCTGGAGTACTGTGTCCAGTTTTGAGCACCCCATTACAGAAAGGATGTGGATAAATTGGAGAGTCCAGTA